TCTACATGCTAGCGCATGTAGAACACACATATATATATATATATATATATATATATATGTAGATATATATGTATATATATATGTATATATATATATATGTAGATATATATATTACCTACCGTATCTATATATATATGTATAAAAATATATATACATACAGACGTAGATATGCATATATATATATACATATATATACGTACATACGCGCACATGTATAAGTATCAGTTGTGTTTATAATTCTACAAAATTTTTGTTAATAATTTTCTAATACTTATGCTGGAATAAGTGAAATTTTCTATAAATATCTCTTGAGATTTTGATAATAACTGTTGCAATGCGATTATGTAAAAATTTCTACAACTGTATTATAAACTATTGAGCCCGAAATGAAAAACTCCTAATCATCTCTTAAATGAATGCTCATCAAAAATTTCTATCGATTCGTATCGTTGTCTGCCTGTTTACAGGAATCAATTCACAATTCGATGCCTAGAAAAATGAATTGAATGATTGACTTGTACTTTCAGAGCCGTGTTCTCAGCAACATTAATTCTTTATGCAAAAGCTATTCCGAACACTACATGCAAGTAAAGCATTACAAAAAAAAAAAACATATCTCTACTTCTCTCTATCTTAATTGACAGCACACAAGATGCATTAGTTTTTAAAAAAGAATCTGAAAAAGAATGTAATCATGATTAGATATTATATATTGAAGCAAATGACTTTTCAGAGATGTCCTTGCGTAACATTGACAATTCATACTCGTTTGATTAAAAAAGTTTCTAAAGGTAAAAACGATCGAATGATTATTGAAATTGAAATTTTCTCAAACTCAATTCGTTAAATTAATTACGATGGCCTACCTATTGCATGGATGCCTTGTCTCTTCAGTCAATCAATTAAATATTTTCGCCGGTTTGTCATTTTCTTATTTCATATCTGGATCAAGCGCAAAGGATTAAATAATAAATAAGAAACATTTGTAGCCGAACATTAGGCGCGATTTCCACAATAATTAAATCGAAAAATATTTAAATAATCTATTTGGCAAGTTTCGATAATTGTGTTGGAAGTCGATTCGCTTCGATTTCGCTTAATTCATATTTAAATGGAAAAGTGCATAAATTGTAACTAATTTGCTCAACACTTTGCATTTGTCATTATTCCTCTTCATATCCTTTATGAGAATTAATTTAATAATTTCCATAAGTTTTGATCATCTTAGGTATCGGGAAAAAAAGAAAATCATTACGGAAGTTATATGCGCGTCTTAGAACGCGTTATGGGTACCGTTCGCCCTCAAATCAACATAAAATGATCGCAGAATATTTTCTTAATTGTGGTCGCATTGGAAGTGAAATATTTTTGGCAGACTCGGATAAACGGTGGGATCGATCTCCATTATTATTAGTAGAAAGCTAATGTGTCTTGCTTATTGTAAGTGATTTCATAAGAGGATTACATTTACGTGTAACCTTCGAAATACCCGTTTGTAGTTTCAATTTTAATATTAAAAGAACAACAAACACGCGTTCAGTATAATTCCTCCCTTTGATCGTGAGCTTGATGCAATATCATCGATCATATGCCATAAAGAAGGGAAGTAAAATTTCATTTATAATCAATTCGACTAACTGACTGATGGCAATTGTCGAGGGCTTTTGTTTATTTTTGATTATAAAAGAAGATTTCTTATATTATCACATCACTCAATAAATCCTTGGTCCGGCACAGTTAACACACCCATATGATTTAGGTATAGTATCAACCTTTAAACGTGATGTGTCACAATTTCGTGATATTCCGGCCAGTAGCGAACAACTTACAGGCGTTTTAGTGACGCTCTTTCTTCGCTCGGTTTCGGTACGCTTAACCGATTCCACGTTGCCTGCATTGTCAGATAGCGCATGAATAATCGTTTTTTATTTCGCCTAAGCAGTAGCAAAATAGCGCTTCGTGCCATCAACAAAAGTTGTTGGCAAAAGTGAGTAAGCGTAGTACCCACTTCGAGCAAAGCTTTCTCATGGTCAAATGCTTATGGAAAATACTAAATAGACGTTAAGGTCTCAGCTAGTTCGCGCGACTTTATTTTACGGTCTTCCAAAACTATTTTGTGGGCTTTTTTTATATCTTCAGGAAAATCATCTGAAAAAATTTAATTTTTTCATTTGACAAGACGCGCGAGAACATATTTCAATCCAAGCCTTTGTCAACGGGTTTCTTTCTCTATTAATTTGATAACTTCAGGTCTAGAGTCACTTAAACAACTGTAACCTGTAAACTAATTGTCAAAATATCATGAAACTTTGTCTCGTATCGTTTCAAGATTAGTACTGTCCAGAAATCATATGGGTCCGGCAACAGTGTTGCCATATATCTGCTAGATAGGAAATTTTTTAATTGATGTGTTAGTTGGTTGCACATTGCTCCACAATTGTGCTACGATAAGTTTGAACATAATTGCTTAGATAGTTAGTTGCTTGGTTTAGTTTGTTAAAATAATTGTTATATTGACGATAATCGATTTCGATAATTGTCAATATTGTCAATAATTTTAATATTTTTCAATGCAAAACTTCAAATGTTCAACGCAATATTATGCGATGGATTACTTTATCGGTTAATCCTTAAATGAACCATCCCTTGCAAATGCTATGCCAGACTTCTCATATATATATATATATATATGTGTCGTGATAGTAATTTGTAAGTGTATTAGGTCTTATTTTAGCTTAGAGCTAGCAAAGAAGTCTTGTGAAAAATCTCTTAAATATCCAAATTATATTCAATTCATGCCGGGTAGATTCTATCTGCCTATCTACCTGTTCTTCTTCTTTTTTCTTTTTTCTTTTGATAATTATTGTATATAGGGAAATAAATCAAAGGTTCGTTCTACGCCGAAAGTAATTTTTCTATTATGTAGTTTTAACGATTATTTCAGTTTTCGTAAGGCGGAGCGAGGATTAAGTATTAAAAGAAAAGAAAAGAAGAAAAGCTTGCAAGGACTGTGATAATAATGTGAAAGGAAAACGGAACTGAACGTTTAACAATCAACAGAGAACGAAGTTAGCAAATTGTTTTATTAATTCTCTCATTTCATAAATAAACAAAATATATTTTTATTAGACTCGTAAGTCAATTTCGATAGTCAATCATTAATGTTTGTCATTCTGTACAACCATAAACACAACTGGTTGAGTATATAAACTTGTAAATATTGGACCAACCAATGTTCTCTCGTGAAAATTTCTTTCTTTGAAATTTTCCTTGTAAATAATATTACGTTACGATATTGTGATCTTGGCATTGTAGCTGTAGAAGTGTTTACGTTTTGTAAAACTTTATATTTTAGGAAATTTTTTACTCTAATACGTTTCATGATTTTGAGTAATATAACTGGATAAAGAAAGACTCTATATAATAATAATAAATAAATAAATAAATAAAAGACAAAAACAAAAAAAAAAAAATATATATATATATATATATATATAATAAAAATAATAATAATAATAATAATAATAATAATAATGATAAAAACTGAATTAAACTGTGATAAACTATGATCTATGGTTGAAGACTGTAAGCAATTGTTGTTATTATGCTGTTGAGTGATAAGCGATATCAGCTGAATTTTTCAAGTTGTATGAAAAATTTTGTGAATAATCTAGAGCAGAGGGCGCCTACATTACTCATATACGCATACAAAATGACTAAGCCGAAGATAATGGCACAATGGTCAATGGATGAAACATGGATGTGTTCAAGCTAGATTTGGAAGATGCGCAAATAGGTTCGAGTCTTGTAGAAAGCAGTAACACTAGCCAAACAAATAAACGACAAGAACATCTTGGTGTTACCGGTGGTGCGGCCGGCAAAATACAAGATCAGCATTCACGGAATACTGTCGATGGCGACAACCTGAATGAAGAGGATAATTTAGATGAAAAATTGCCCGAAGTAAGCTTTGACGCGAATTCAGATTTTAATTTACATTTCTTTGATACGCCCGAAGACTCATCAACTCAAGGTGGATTTAGCGATGCCGGTTCGGCCGAGTCCGAAGCAGATTTAAATTTAGAATCACCTGCAACGCCTACAGGTGCTATATCGAATCCAAACATTGATAGGGCAACATTTACGGGCGAAAGCGAGAGAAAGGACTCTTTCAGTCAATTAGTAACACATAGCTGTCAAACGTTTTATTCGTCGACTAGCTCAAGTTTCGCTAATAATAATAATACAGCAAATTTAAGTGGTAACTCGGTAGCACAGTTTGGAAATCTTGGAAATGGTGGAAGTGCATTATATACCACAAACAGTGGCCATAACTTCGCATCAACGAATTCGTCGTCATCCGGGTGTTCTTCAACCTCTTCAAACACCAGCAGCAACAGTAGCAGCATTTGCAACCATAGCGCGAGTGGCAGCGCCAGCAATATCAATAACCACCACAACAATCACAACAGCAGCACTAACGCCAGCAATTACGGTAACAGTACCCCGCTTGGATCGACAACAATTAGTTCCAGTAGCACAGCAACGGCCTCACCAGCCTCAACATCATCAACACCCACAACATTGGTTGCTGAGCGTTTTATTGGAAACCACAACCGAAGCCAACAGCACACACAATCAACAACAGTTTCATCATCCTCAATAGCTTCATTGGCCAATATCAAGCTAACAGCAGGTATAGTAAGAGATATTTTGTAAAAACACAAAAAAACCGATTCAAGCAACAGAACACATTTATAATTACAATATTACTTACCGATCTTTGCAAAGAGTGTGTTTTACTTATTAAACTTCTTTTTTTGCTCTTATTCCGTGCGTTGATTAGATCAACACAAAAGCATTCCAAGGCAATGTCGTTCAAATGGATTTATATGCATACATACGTACATACATACATATACACGTGTATATTTATATATATATATATTTGGGTGGAGGGGTTAACGCCATCTGCATTCACTTTGTCTTTTCTTTTCCTTTTTGTTTTTTTTTGTTTTTTTTTGTTTTTTTTTCATTTTGAACTACTGCGGCGTGTTGATTGGTGAGGAGCAGTAATAACAGCAAACAGCTGAGCATGTAAACATGTTGTAACTTCCTTGTTGTTAATGTTGGTGTAGAAACGAAAAAAAAAAAAAAAAAACAACTATAACAACAACAAAACAAAAACAACAACTCAACACTAACAACAATAATAATCTTGCCTATAGTCAAATTGATAATATATGAGAGCGTAGTGAGTGGGTGGCTGGTTGATTATTCCGAGTGAGTTTTGCTGCACGTCGTGTTTACTATCTATAGCGAAGTCAAGTTTATTCAACTCTATACTCATAGATGTATAAATAATTACATACATATATATGCATACATACATACATACATACATACATACATACATACATATGTATACATGTACATAGATATATAAATATAATTACGTTTATACATGCATATACAAATACATATCGGAATAAATGCGCGTACGCATATATGTTTGTCCAATTTTAAATTTGCGAATTTATTACATTTCTCGTATGCATTTATTATTGCATGCCTTTACGCCTATGTATTTGGTTTGATGCGGTATTGAATACACAAACAATTGATACTATTGATAAACTCATACTTTATATTGTAATATTTGTTACACAACAACAATAACAAAAGAACAACAGCAACAACAGCGATCCCATTCCTATACCGAGGAATAATTATACGCGTTTTCCAACGAATCCCATATGCCCATGAAGCCTTGAAGCCTCCAATGTTTAGCGTTCACAAATGTTTTCATGTCTAAGACATCTTGCCCAAACAGCCATATGAAAAGCATTGACTCTTCGAATCGCTTGTTGTGCTTTTTTTTTTGTTTCTAATATCTTTCCGATTAATAATTGAATGTTAATTATTATTATTAGTGTTTAGAGCTACTACAAGGATGGTCCCTTTTTAACACATTTTTACACAAATTCAATTAATTCTCTTAACCTAAATAGGTACTGTTCATAAAATCAATTTTCAACAAGAACAACTCTCTTCATTCTAGATTTTCCAAGTATTTGTATGATCGCAATAATTAGTGATTTTTGCATGCCTCTCTTATGTTTGGTATCGGCGCAGTGTTCGATATTAGTACTGTTGGCACTACACCACATGCATTTCAGTTCCCATATGTATCGAATAGTTGCAGTTGAACTGGTGTGTCTTCAAATTTTCAATGATCTTTACTTTGAATATATACAATGTATATATACAATATATATATATGTATAGTTGTTTTTTTCTTTTGCATTATTTCTGATCTATTACTTTCTATGGTCTACGATCTGTGCAGATAGGGCGGCCTTATTTACGAATACCGAAACCGAATGATATTTATAACAAGGCTTATCATCCATCGTTTATCAGTTCAGAATTTTTGACTGACTTTTCGATTTCCCATTTTTCCCAATCGGCTTGTCTAATGCAATGTTAGTGTAGCCTGTTGTGCCTTCAAATCGACATTTACCAGATGCAACAAAACCATCTTTTTTTTTTCATTTTTTTCTTTTTTCTTTCTCAACTTATTAATATCTATTTAACTGTTCGGTGTCTGGGGAGAATCAATCGTTTTGTTGCTGATTTCGATTGATTGATGTTTCCAATGTTTAATCACCATACTTGTGACGTTTCGCCCATACGGCAAACAAGTTTATTGCGGAAATGTATTGTATACAGCTGCAGGTTTAAAATCACTTTTACTCGCTTGATATACTCCTTTGTAAATTCTTGTTTGACGCGGCCACGCTCAAATCGGATGCACTATCTCATATCGATAAATATATCTCTATTGGAGTGCTACGCTGTACATCGTTCTAGTCACTCTCTTCAGTTAGTTTCCCCTTTAGTTTAAAATTTTACATAGGTCAAGCCCAAACTCGATATTTATGCCTATGCCTTTGCTCTGCCGCCGGTAAGTATGTATCATTCGTAAACAGTAGGGCAGTTTATCGGTATTAGATTTTTTGTTTCTTCCGGATCTTCCTTCTTGCAGATTTTCCTTCTTCCAGATTTTATATTAAACCCGCACTGATTATCAGTGAATAGTTTGACAGTAGGTTCAGTGATAGTCTAGTTTGTCGAATTATTTTTAGATGCTCCCAGATCTATCTTGTAAAGGAGTAATTTTTTTTTTTTATTATTATTATTGTTGTTATTATTATTAATTTCGCCAGAGAAATAAATTCTAAGACTAAACTCTTAAAAGCACTAGCATCTAAGGCTATCGGCTTTTATTAAAAGAATTGATTTGCTAGTCGAGATTCCTCGCCTCCGGCTACTCAGGCCAATTTCTTTTTTTTTATTTTTTTTATTTTTTTCTTTAATATTGCATAGGGGCACAGAATCACAAATTTGCTGTCACATTTCGTCGCTGCTTACAGCATTTGTTTCCAAATGGGTCAACCTTAAGCTGTTCCCTTCACCCTTCCCTTTTTCACCCATTTTCCTGTTTCGTTATGTTATTGCTAACGATTACAAAGCTCGTTGACTCGCAAAGCAATACTTGATGTTGTCACTTTGTATTAAGTGCGTAGGCGGTGGACACGTAAAGGGTTTAAAGGGCTGAACTGTTTAGTGCGCGGTGTGTTATGGTTTTTATGAGTGCAAGAGGAAATAAGTTTGATCTGCGATCAATAATATTATTTTTAAATTCGCTCACTTTAGAAAACACGTAGTAACCTTTTTTTTCCAACAGACATTTTAGTTTTGCTCTTGGAGCTTTTCAGCTTTAATATATTCCACCAGAAGTGAACGGTACATCATATATATTTTATGTAGTGAGTGTTTTCAGTGTTGCCTTCTTATTGTTCTATGATGTTGCTTCTACTTTTTTGAAGAGTATTTTGCGGACTTTATTGCTCAGCTCTCTTATGAAACGATTGTGATAAGTGATTCAGTCATTTGTGCGTTGTCCTTCCTTCAGTTTCTTCAAGCACAGTATCTTCTTAGTCTTGCTAGTAATACAATCTGCCCTTCAAGGTATCTAAATAGTATCTTGCCGTTGTGTGTCTGGTATCTGGTGCTTTGGACATCTCCGTTTACATTAACATTCGTGGAATTGACTTATGCTTCTGTTCTGGCGCTATTGCATTTTAGCTTCACTAGGCGTCTCCTTTCGATATTTCCTTCCCCATATGTGTATAATTAACATTTTTACTGCTATGTAAGTTATTAAAGTGAAGTCTTATAAATTGTTCACTATACAGATATAAGATGGCGTGATATATCTACATTCACGATGATAATTATATTTGGCTTATACTTTTAGATGGTAGATGGGTGGGTGTCATAGGTATTGTCTGTTGGCTTTGATGAGTCAAATGTGAATTTTCGAATTGTACATGAAACGAATGCAGATAATTTCATCGTTGTTCATCGCTTTTTATCTAACTTGGGTCTATGGAACTTATAGTTTCGATAGTCTCCTTCGGAATGAATCAGAAGGTCAGAAGGTTGACTTGTTTTCTGGACACTGATGATTCGCAATTGCTCTATCGAATAGGTGAAGATCTCTGACCATACTTTGGATTCGGAGCATCTATTACGCCTGGATGCCATGTTATTCTTTGTCATCATTTAGGAGGAAACTTTGCTTGGCATTCTATTTTTTCAATTTTATTCTTTCTCGTTTTCGAGATCTTACATAGATTGGTAATTGCAATTAAATTTAATCAATAAATAAATTCTATTTCACTTTAAGAAAATAAAATTTCTGGATTATATATAATAAGCAAGATACACATATACACCGGAATCTTTTATAAGACAATCAAATCAATGTGGACGCGTTCAATGATCATGTGGTTGTAGTTGTAATGAACGCTTGTCCACGCTTTTATCGATCGGAGGTACCCCTCTCTCAGGCTGTGGACGCATATTCCGTTCCTCTTTTCCCAATGGCTCTCTCATCTGCATATACAGAATTATATATAATTCAAAACACTTACCTATGCAATATTTTGTGATTGACTTTTTTATTAGAAATCACGCATAAAATATCTAATAGCCCTAGAGGCTTGTAGGACTAAGACTCATTGCTGCTTCTTAATAGATTTTAGTACTGGATTCTAGTGCTTCTAATGCTTGTTTGATTCATTTTATTTATAGCCCTATGGCAATTAACTTTTTGCAGATATGTACACCATCCAGAAGGATCAAGCTTTTATTATACCGATCGATTCAGAATCACTTTTTAAATAAATTTAAATTTATGCGTCTGTCTGTCCATCTAATATATATCTTTAAATGACTTTTTAGTCAGATATTTTGATGAAATCTGGTACACTGATATGGTTTGACCTAGTGATGGATACTATTAAAGATGCTTCAACGCGCACCACTTTTTCGACCATTTTTCGTATAATGCCTTAATGACTCTTTTACTGCTCTCTTTTTGCCTCGCATACTATTAATTTATTTGGTGTATTACGAACCACCGATTCATTAATTAACGTCGATCCATTCCAGTTTATTACAAAGATCTCATTTGCTTCCATGTTGTCTGGACTATATTTGCAATATGGAATTCTATTGATGTTATATTTTTCTAAAAGACATAAATGACTTAATTTTAAAACAAGATCATATCTATCTATATATTTATAAGCAGTATTCACGAAGTGAGTATGGGCTCGGATATAA